TTGCCTCTTAATCATTTCAGTTTTTATTACAATATCATCCATATTTTTCCTTGAGTTTCTTTCTGTGTCTAGAAGGGTGGGATAGGAATCAAATGAATGAATGAATGAATGAATGAATGAATGAATGAATGAATGAATGAATGAATGAATGAATTTACTAATATCTTTAATCCCTGAGGTGTTTTTATTATGTTCACTTGGGCTTTCCCACATTTCTTTCCAAAGTTTTAGAGCATTATGGGCCTAATTTCTTTTGCTCTGCTTTTTCTCCTAGTGATGTATAGAATAATTATTGGTTATTTCAAAATTGTGTGTTTTCTCTATATTGCTTCAAGTGTCCATCATATCTTTCAGTTTTCTTTCCTGTAGCTATTAACTGTTGTTTTAATTCTTCCATAGTTTCAACAGTTGTTTTCCTTTCTATGTCTTTTTTTCACCCATTGGCTTTTACTTTTTCATTTTAAAGTTTTGAACCTTTCAAGTGTTTTAAGTTGCTAATGTCTGCATGTAATTTATTTATTTTTCTTTCCAGTTGAATTTTCAATTTCGGAGTGCCAGCAGTTTTCTACAGTTTTTTTGCAGCTTGTAACTAAGTTCCATGGTTACTATGGTCTCTCTGCTGTACATGAGCTGGTTTAATGGGTTGGTTGGGATTAGAAATGGGGATGAATATAAAAACGGATTGGCGTTTTCGACGAAAATAGCCGATTTGTTAAATATCTTCACCAAAGTTGGCAGGCGTGTTGGGGAAAGACACAGGAAGCTCTGTTGTGATTCTGGATTCTCTAAGTACCTGGGGGAGTTTTCCTGGGGGTGTCCTCTTTGTGACTATATAACTCAGGGGTCCATTATCCAATGTTCACCAAACATTCAAGAGTTGTAGAAATGCATCTGAGGAAGCTTCCCTGCAAATTTGGTGTCTCTTGGTGCTTAGGGGTCAGTTTTACAGGCATTTAAAGCAAAGACAAATAACAAATAAGTTCATCAAAGAATATTCGTATATTCATATTTGTTGAGTCATTAACCTTGAAGAATCACAAATCAAAACAAATCACCCTTTTTTTGTCCCCATCTCTAGTTGGGATTGTTCTGATCACTACATTTGCATTATTCAGTAGATCTTTTACTGCTTTAGCTTGTAATTGGCACAATTACAAAGTAAACCAGTAAAAGATCTACTGATCTGATTTGGCTAATAAGGCTTACTATTTTTTTTTCCTCAGTGATGTCTCCCATTCTGTCAACTCATAATTTTTTGGGTTGTTCCATAAGTTGTTCCTCTATTGACACATTATCTATCACTATTGTCTCTCCTCTTCTTTCCATTTGTCTTCATACTATGGTCATTGTTCTATGTTGATTTTTCTTTTGCCACATTTTCTAGTTCTTGCAATTCCAGTTCTGAAAACACTTTACTCTGGATGA